GGCTCCCAGACTCTGGAACTCGCTCCCTTTGAGTTTGAGATCTGTGGACTCAGTCATGTCTTTTAAAAAGCAGTTAAAAACCTGTTTAAACTCTCTTTTGGTTGATTTTGTTTTAGATTTTAATGTCTTTTTTCTGCCTCTGTAAAGCACTTTGTGATTTTATCTTGAAAGGTGCTATATAAATAAGATTTTATTTATACCAGGGTTAATGCTGAAAGCTCTTACACCGAATGTAAACATGATCTGAAATAAGGCTTCAGATCTCCACGAAGTTTGCATAAGCAGCAAAGTTTCTCCCTGCGTCATTTTTCCTTTTGGAAAAGAAACACCACATTTCTCATAAATTCTGTTCTTTATTTTCAAGTGCAAAGGAGCCACAAGATTAGTAACAGTACTGCAAAGAATCTGTACAAACATCACTTCTGACAGAACAGGGGACGAGCCCATTTTAAGCAGGACAATACATTTTCTCTCCCCATTGATCAGGTTCAGTTTGTCCTTTCTGCAGATGCTGTGACATCCAGGTGAAGGAATGATGAGTCAGGATTTCACTCCTTAGAGAACATGTGCACGAGCAGGTCACACACACGGTTGCTGTAGCCAAACTCGTTATCGTACCTGCAGGTACAAAAATGAGAGCAGAAGGTCAACAGTGGAAACGTGAATGCTGCAAGCTTTAGTGCATAGTGGCTAACTGTTTAAGTCACTAAAGTTTGTCTTCTTGGGGCACTAGGTGGAATACCAGTCTGTTACATTTTTACTCATTTCATACAACACGAGATTCAGATTTTCATTAGTACAAACCGTTTGTAGTAATCAATTCATTTAAATGCAGCAAACAAGCTTTGGTCAACTAGTTTAATAAATGTAGTTTCATACTAGAGACATGTTCATCGAGTCTCACCATGAAACCAGCTTGACAAAGTTGTCGTTGAGTGCAATGCCAGCTCCAGCGTCAAAGATTGACGAGTGAGGGTCACTGTTGAAGTCTGTGGACACAACCTGAACAGAAAGCGTGCAAGTGTAGTTGTGTTAGTGCACCAGTCCTCGAGCACATCTGTAAAGCTAGTTAGACAAATGCTGCCACCTAGTTAGACAAATGCTGCCACCTAGTGACTCCTGTGTGGCCACACAAGTGAAACAGTCTCATTCTCCCCTTTTAAGAGTATAATGTAGCCTGGTGTTTGGTACCTGGTCCTCTGTGTATCCCAGAATTCCCTTCATGGGTCCCTCAGCAGCAGCTTTGATTGTTTTCTTTATGTCTTCATACTTTGCCTGAGATGAGAAATTATAATCCTCAGATTAGACTAATGTAAAGTCTAGATAAGGGAACATGAATCAGCTTTATGTCAGTTATGAGACGCTTACAGGCTTCCCCAGTCGGACAGTAAGGTCAACGACGGACACGTTGGGGGTGGGCACACGGAAAGCCATACCTGTCAGTTTACTGTAACAAACATTCAGAGCTCAGGACATTTTGCTGATAATTTTAGTCATTACAGCGTCCTGATCCTTTTCCTGAAGACACATGTGCCATTTTAAATGGAGAATTAGAGGAAAAGTACCCGTTCAGCTCAGGGATGACCTTGCCGACAGCCTTGGCGGCTCCAGTGGAGGCAGGGATGATGTTCTGGGAGGCACCGCGGCCATCTCTCCACATTTTACCAGAGGGCCCGTCAACAGTCTTCTGTGTGGCAGTGACGGCGTGGACTGTGCTCTGAAAGAGCAGGTAATGGTTGTTCAGAGGCAGAATCAGGTCGTCCCAACAATGTGAGCTAATCTGAGCTGCTGTTGGACAAGTTAAACAGAATTTCTTAGGAGGAAAGTAGCTTTGTTGATGTTGTAGAACACAGGTGTCGAACTCCAGGCCTCAAGGGCCGGTGTCCTGCAGGTTTTATGTGTGTCCTTGATCCAACACAGCTGATTTAAATGGCTAAATGACCTCCTCAACATGTTTTGAAGTTCTCCAGAGGCCTGGTAATGAACTCATCATGTGATTCAGGTGTGTTGACCTAAGGTGAGATCTGAAACCTGCAGGACACCGGCCCTTGAGGCCTGGAGTTTGACACACCTGTTGTAGAGGGACGACATTTACTTGATGCAACAGAAACACTTTGTGATGAGAACTACTGGAAAGCAGGACCCTGATATAGATGCCCAGTATCCAAGCTTTCTGATCATGTGATGTTGGTGAAGGGCAGGTCCATCAGTCTCCAGCATCAGTGAGTCTGCCACAAAGAATGATCATCTGCAGAATGTCAAATTGAGGAGACTTTGAGCTTTTTATTGGCATTGTGCAGTTTTTGCACAGCGAAATTGGGCAGCTGGACCACAAAGGTGCAAAAGTAAGGAGACAATATACAACGAGGGGGGAAAAAAATAAATAAAGTGCAATGTATACGTATGAGAGTCGTTGCTGAATGCATTGTACAGTTTGTTGGTCGACTGCTCTTAAAGTTCCTAAAATCTTCTGGCTATAAGAGATTCACTCAAAAGAAGCAGAATCAGTTCTTTACCATGAGACCTTCCACGATGCCAAAATTGTCGTTTACGACCTTGGCGAGGGGAGCCAGGCAGTTGGTGGTGCAGGAAGCATTGCTATGGAGAAAGCACATGTCAACTTAAGTGCAGAGATGCTACACCAAACAAAATTTAAGAAGCCATCTAGACATCTGCATCCAGCTGTCCAAACAGCCGTTATAGACAAGGCATCTGTAAGCACCATCAGCACCAGCACTCACCTGACAACCGTCAATGAGTTGTTGTATTTTTCGTGGTTGACACCCATTACAAACATCGGTGCATCAGCACTGGGAGCAGAGATCACCACCCTCTTAGCTCCACCCTTCAGATGAGCCTAACAAATCAAAATAGATAGGACTGATTGTACAATCATTGATGCTTCAGGAAGCTCCAAGATTACGCAAACTAGAGTCCAAAAAAGATTGCATTAATTTAGAAATACAGGTCAGGATGATGAAAACTGTTCCTTCAACCAAGTTTGTCACTATTGTGACTTCAACATGTGAAACAATCCAGTCAGCTTCAGGGTGAAACTGCACAACAGCAGCCAACTTACAGAAGCCTTCTCAATGGTGGTAAAGACACCAGTGGACTCTACAACATAGTCCACACCAGCATCACCCCACTTGATGTTGGCGGGGTCCCTCCTGTGCAGTTCAGAGAAGTCAGTTATTCAATCTGAGGCAAACTTGCTGGATAAAGTGCACGTGTGACAGTTACACACTCTTGGAAGACCGTGATGTGCATGTTACCGATGACCAGCTTGCCACCCTCAGTCTTCACCTCTCCGTGCTTCCAAGTGCCGTGAGTGGAGTCGTACTTGAACATGTAGGCCTGCATTAAGAGGTGACCATTAAAAATGCAACAAAACCTGCCGTTTAAGAGAAGTCAACATGAGGTCTCTAAAACTTCCTGGTGTCCTTGACAACGCAGTCTTTGCTTAAAATGTTTCATTTAAGGACTTTGCTTTTCCTACATTACTAAACAGAATCAAACAGGCTTGTTTGGACCATCAATTTATAGAGCAGAAGAAACTTGTCCTCTCACCATGTATTCCAGGTCAATGAAGGGATCATTGATGGCTACAACCTCAACCTTACCACCTGCAACAGCAGCACGGGTCACCAAACGACCAATACGTCCAAATCTGAAATGCAGGTCAGACTAAAGAATCAGTACAGATACGAAAGTGAGCAAGAACGACTAGGTTGTTGTGAGACCGTAAAAAGGATGAAATATTTCGTTGAATTCAAACTGAAGACCCTTGTAAAGTCTGCAGGCCACTTTATACATTTCCTGTCTGACCAGCAGGTTGAATCCGAGTCACTGCAGAGGACGGCTTTGCTATGCAAGGCCTGCCAACCTTGACTGAAGAGAACAATGGCTGGCACCAGCAGCTGATAGCCTGTTTAGGCCTAATATGGGCATTGTCAGTGAGGCAGATTGAAGAGTGTGGAACTAAGGAAGCATGGAGGGTTTAAAGTTCAGAGCATGTTATAGTAATGGAGATAAAGAGGGTCGTGAAGTAAGAGTTTCCGAGAGAAATCAAGATATGCTACAAAGAAAACCGGTGCAAACCCAGAAACAGCTGTAGAACTTCTGCTGGGCCAAAGTAAAAACCAAAATTTTAAATCACCCAAACATTTGTCTCTAACTTTTTCATGTTTTGTGACAAGTTAAGTTGAGTTAGTGCTTCAGAATTGAGTGTCTGGAGGTGTTTGAGTACAACAGTTGCTTGTGGGTTACCCAAACAGATTAGGCCATTCTTGTGAATTGCTGCCTCCAAGTAGATTTGGATACAAAATCATAATTTTGTCCAAGATGGCAAAAGACACAATTTCCCTCCCATCCACATCAAGTGTCTAAGTTCTGAACAAACTTAATTTAAGTGGGATTTCATATGTGGGTGAACCAAAAGCCGACTTTGCCTTGTGACTGAACCCGTGTTTAGTTACAGTTGCCACATAGTTGGAATTTGATTGTATTCATGGCCTTTCAATAATACTGCATTCAGGCTCTATTGTATTTCACCTTCTATCAGAGCAAACAAGGCTGCTCAAGTCAAGATTTCTAAAGATGTGGTGAAACAAGTTTCTTCATCATGTAAACTGATCTGGAAGCAACAGCAGCTCTCCTGAAGAAGTTGCTAAAAGCCTGCAGAAGTTAAACATTCCTATTATGGACCAGCATACCAACTACTGTGTCAGAGGGAAGCCGAAAGTAAATTCAGGGTTGAGGCCACCACCAGCTTTGGCTTTAGATCAAGCTGAAGACAGAGTTGTGGCATGAACCATTGAGCACCAGAGTTTTGTCATGCAACACTGCATGCCTTCAGTTCACATTACATAGTTTGTACATTGTTTGCAACTGTATCCTGTAGCAGGAGGCAAATATACAGCCTGCACACAAAAAGACTTTATCAGCTTTGATGTATCAGGAAGCAGAGACTCCCTTGAAACTGCCAGAGAACTTTATGGGTTGAGTAAGAGGAAATCTGGACAATAGCAAAACAAGGCAAGTCTTAAGGGGAGCAAGTTGAAAATTCATATCTGTAGGAACCTGCTCATATCAGATAAAGTCCAT